TATAGACGAATGTATTTTGTTATTGTATTCGTCGACAACAACTGGTAATATTTTAAGCCATTTTTGAGATTTCAATTCCGTGAATTTCTTGAATAATTTGCTTTTAAGAGTCCTGTTGAATCTTTCTATCACTACGGCTTTACCTTCGTTATGCGTGCTGTAAATTTCAAACCCCAGAGATTTCACATTTCTGTTGTAGAATTCGCTTCCTTTATCAACCCACAACTTTAGGGGTCGTCTGTCGGATTGTTTCATTGTGGTTTCGAATGCTTGTTTGACAGTCAGACCGATTTGTTTTTCAAGGGAAAGACCCAAGCGTATCTCGTGTATATGTCGATCACCGTCAAACAATACTTGTACCCTCTCTCGACTGGCATGTTGATTAAATCGGCTGACCAAATTTCATCTTTATCAAAAACTTTGACTTTGAGGTAATGTTTCAGGAATCCAGGAAGAGAACCCAATGACTTTTGAATGTCTCCCGCACCGAAATACGTTTTAAGAGGATGGACATTTATTAAAGACATATTTGTTCAACAATGAAATAAACACCATATATTTTTAATACGAAAGATTTAATACATAGATGAAATTTGTTGTTTGAGATAAAATTGGCCACTTTGGGGATGAGAGATGTTAGCGCAGAGAAGAAACCGTCTCCTTCGTTTTTTTTTTTGTTCGTGTTTTAAAATTAAAGACATTTTTAATGCGGTTATTTTATACTGTATTATTATTAGTGATTCTTGTCTGTGGTTTTGGGTAATTTATATGGAGTCTATTATAATACAGTTTGGAGGAATCTGTTATGATACATATTTAACAGTTTGGGAAGTCTGTTATAATACATTTTTAACAGTTTGGGGAGTCTGTTATAATACATTTTAACAGTTGTGTCTTTTCGGATATGACGCATTGAAACAGCTGAGCATGTGAAATACGTCATATCTGAAAAGACATATACTACTGATTTCGAAAACCTAAATCCATTGTTAGTTGCCCATTGCTGTAAGTTGTTTAAGCAAAGCTGCAACTGACGCTCAATCGTCTGCATGTTTGTAGAGCCATAACACATTAACATACAGAGAGCCATCAACCCCCCGTCTAAGGCACAACGTGATGGAATTAATTTTAATAGAGAACAGGGTAACGGATGATATGCTACCCTGTGGAACTCCATTATCCTGAGGAAAAGGATCTGAAAAAATGGAGCCAAGTCGAACCTTAAACGTTATATCATGTAGGAAATTGGAGATGAATAATGACAATCTTCCTCTGAGACCGAAGTCAAAGAGATCACGAAGAATGCCATATCTCCAAGTGGTGTCATAAGCCTTCTCCAAATCAAAGAATATGGCTACAAGATGTTTATTTTGGATGAAGGCATCCCTGACAAACGATTCAAATCTAACGAGATGATCAAGAGTGCTCCTTTTGGGTTCCGAAATCCACATTGGAGGTTGGTAAGAAGATTGTTTGACTCAAGGTGCCAAACGAGCCTTCGATTGATCATTCGTTCCATGGTTTTACAAATGCAGCTGGTTAATGCAATAGGGCGGTAATTAGTAGGATTCGTAGGATCTTTACCAGGTTTAGGAATGGGTACAATGGTAGCGATCCTCCAAGATGGAGGAAATACACCGTCATCCCAAATCTGGTTGAATATACATAAAAGTTTTTTTAATGTTGGGTAAGGGAGATGTTTTAGGATCTGATAATGTATATCGTCAGGCCCAGTAGCTGTATCACGAGCCTGTTTCAAAGAAAACTTTAATTCCGAGATCGTAAATTTATTATTATAATATTCCTCGTTTTTTGATGCAAAAGTAAGTCTTTTCCTCTCTTCCTGGAGTTTCACTTTCCGAAAAGCATCCGAGGAAAAGTTAGAGGAAGAATTATAAGAAAAATTATGGCCTAAGGAATTAGCAATATCTAGAAGAATAGTGAGAGTTGAACCATCTACCTCTAGATGGTTCACAGATATTGTATCCGCTTTACCCTTGATCCTACGAATCTGTTGATCCTTGAAACATACTCCTGCCATGACGACCTCTTTGCTTGGCGGATAGTCCGCTTGGCTTTCACCCGTGCAATGCGGAAAGAGGCCATGTTGTCAGCGATAAGAGAACCATCTGTAGGTATGTAACAATTTTCGCCGACGAATTCATTATTCTTTTTAAGTAGATCAGTTCCTCCTCTGCCAACTCTCGATCTTTTTATTTCTTGGAAATTGTCTTTCATTAAAATTATTTTTCCTGTAAAATACCAATCGGAAGCATCGGATTTTTTGTCCATATTTGAAAAGATATTGTGAAAGGTTTTGGCATTGAAACCGAGGAGTGACATGTATTGTCTGTGATTCCCTTCCTCGACTATCTCTCCATCTATTTTAATTTGTACTTTGAATGTTTTAAATTTATCAGAGATAGCCTTGATCACATCGGAAAATAGGGCGTTTTTTATCAATGTTTCATCGTCTGCAAGTTCGATTTTATTCATATTTTTTTAAGTATATATTTTTGATTATTTCTTTATTTTGACCGCTGATATTTCTGTATGGAATTTGTCCAAAATTTCATTGAATTCTTTTAATTCTTCAACTGTTATGTTCTTGTCTTCTCTCGATCTTTCGAAAAAGATGTACAATTGATTAAGATACATATTCAAGATATCCGTTTTCTTTTTATAATGAGCTTTCTTTTTGCTCGTGAAACCTAAAGTGATGAGACCGCAAGAAGTCGTTTGAACGGCTGTTAATGCAGCCAATACGGTTGGGACGATGACTGGAAGCATTAATCCACCAGTCACGGCCGTTGCCACCGTTACTCCTACCGTTAGAACTGTGCTCGCTGTTTTGAAAAAAGAATCGATTCTACTCCATGTTTTCCTGCATGTATTGCACTGTCTCAACTTTATTTTCAACTCTTCTTGTNTGTCTATCATGTAT